CAAACTGCTTTTGCATGCAAAGAAATGGCAACAAATAGAGAAATGGGGTGGGGAGAAAGAAAAAGAATATTCTGCAAAAATAGGTTTTGAGCTCTTTCAATCTACTGCTTTGATTGTCTTCATTTTGCAATCCAGTGCAATGTAGAGACATAGTCCTCTAGATTTCCCTGCTTTGGCTCCCTTTTGCTGAAGCAAACATGATTGTGCTGATTCAGACAACTGTTAGAATCACCTAGCTAATGCTCTGTAAGGGATCTAAAGCAGTCGAGAGGTTAGTGTGTTATCTAACCCTCCTCCCCCAAAAACTGTGTCTTAAAAATAGTCATCCATTTTACCTGGGAGCTAAGAAGGTGCAAGTAGATTCATGAGCTGTCCTGAAGAAACATGTGAATGGCTGTCAGCAAAAGCACCAGTCAGACTGTTTTTGAAAGGGTAAGGAAGCCAAATGCCTCAAATTATTCCAATTATTGAATAGATGGAGACAGAGTTGTTGCAACAGACCTATTCTAGCATTTGCATTAGGTGTGTAGCAAATGACTGCTGTGTTCTCTGCTATCCCTGAGTCTTCAGGGCTTCTCTACTGCTTACACTAAATCTACCTATGCCCTAACTTGTCCAATTTACCACTGATTGTATTCCAACAGAATCACAGAATATGCTGAGGTGGAAGGGGCCCATCAGGATCATCAAGTCCAGCTCCTGGCCCTGGCAGGACATCCCCAAGAATCACACCCTGTCCCTGAGGGCATTGTCCAAACACGTCTTCAAATCTGTCAGGCTTGGTGCTGTGATCATTTCCCTGGGGAGCCTGTTCCAGTGCCCGACCACCCTCTGGGTGAAGAACCTTTCCCTGACTCAGCTTCAGGCCATTCCCTTGGGCCCTGTCACTGGTCACAACAAAAAAGAAATCAGTGCCTGCCCTTCCTCTTCCCCTCACAAGGAAGCTGTAGCTGCAGTGAGCTCTCCCCTCATCTCCTCCAGGCTGAACAGGCCAAGTGCCCTCAGCTGCTCCTCACATGGCTTCCCCTCAAGGCCCTTCACCATCCTCGTGGCCTCCTTTGGATGCTCTCTAAGAGCTTAATACTGTTACCCAAATCCTTCCCCTGCTCCCGTTCTGGGAACCCGGGGATCACGATGGTTGCTGTGGGTATTTTTTCTTGGCTTTTCTTGGGAAACAGACATTGCATAGAAAGTAGGCTCTGGGTGTGCAGGCATGAGCCTACCCCCTTGCACATCCTCCCTGATGGGTACCCACATGATTTTTTCTCAAGCAAAAGAGAACAAGGCAGAGGCAAATGTGAGGGTGAAGGAGCAGACAGGACAATTGGAGGGTGGGATAAAAAGATCTATAGCCAGCAGAGCACCCTTTTAACTCCTGAACCACATCCTTTGGGTATTAAGTCATGAGGCCGTTGGTGAGAGGCCTGAGACATGAGAAACACAAAGGCATGGCAAAGCTTGCCTTTCAAGGAGGTCTGCTGAGGGAACATCTTCAAGGTTCCAGCACTGACCATGCTGCAGCCAACAGGAGCCCACACCATGGTCTGCTGAAACATGAGGGATTCAGCTAGTGTTGCTTTAATATTAATAGCTTGAAGGACAGGCGGAAAAGAAGAGCACGGAGCAGCTTCTGTTTACCAGCCCACTGCTGCAGCATTGCAAGGTGTTAGAGATTCCCCCCCTTGTGTGTGGGCTGCATTCCCCTGCATGACACTCCAGGAGATTTCATGGCCAGTGTTCACCCTCCTGCCTGCATCTTCAGCACATGGACACCCAAAGCACATGACTCTTCTTCTCCCATGTTCTAATGAATTCCTTCCACGTGCCTGAGAAGCCTCTGAAGCCTCCTCAACCACACACCTCTGTGTATGCTTATCTCTGTTTAATGTCGTTAATCACAGAAAACACTGATAATATTACCTTTACCCTTCCTCACACAATAATCCCAGGCAAACTAAGCATAAAGGTTATGCACTCACCCTAACATTTATTACTTTACTACAGCTGTATAAAAACGAGTTGTGAAATTTATCTTCTAGCTCTTGTCAACTGTTTTCAAATACTTCAATCACAAACACATAGTTGAAAGTGATCTGAAAGGGATGGTTATCAGAACTGAGACTGAAGGAATTTCTGGCACTCTGTTTTGTTTTTCCATCCCCAGACTGATTAAGGTCCAGCTTGGAGGTGGTGACTTGAAATGTTTTCATTTCAGGAGTACCTGAATGCAGGCCCTGCAGTGGAGTCCACCTGTTTCCAGGCTCCTCCATTAGGCAGGACACAGCTATTGGTCTGAGCCAGAGGAGGGCAAGAGAGTCTTAATTAAAAACAAAAAAAGGAAAACAAAATTTGTAACAATAAGACCCACACATACTGCTACAGTCACATAAACTGTAACTCAGGAAAGCTCTTAGGCATATATTTAAGAAAATGTATGTCTAATTTTGCTCTGAAAAGGCTTCTGTAAGTAGGTGATGTTTGGAATGAGATCTTCATGACTGTACACAGTAAACAGATTTGCTGCCAAATCCAAAGTCTGCTTGACAATCACCACAGTACATCTTACTGCTGAAATATGTCAGATGAAGGTCACAACAAGTATTAAATAACTATCCAAAAGCATAATAGCTAGCAATACCTGTGGCTAAATCAGGCCCACACTGATATTTACAAGATACATTTAACAGACATGACAGATACCAGCCCAACAGCAATGAGTGAAGACTTTTGTTGTGCCCCAGCAGTCTCCTCTGGACCTACAGACACACTTCTTACTCACTCCATCTGTCTTCAAATGCACTCTCCATGCCACATGGATCTGCTTTTCCATGGCACAGATCCCACCCATCAAAACATTCCCTTGAACCACTACAGAAAACACAAAGATGCTTTACCAACTCAAAATATTTTATTTTCCAATTTTGAAGCTGATTGTACTCGCAGCCAACCATCCCCAATGCTGTTATGAAATTCAGTATTGCTCTTCAAGCCTATGTATGTACCTGTGGCCTAGACTGCACTGATAGAAAGCAACATTAGGAATATGCTAATAGTCATAATGTTAAAATACATTAAGAAGATTTGTCACGTTAAGAATAAGTTAGCAGATCCCAGCTAACTTATTCTAATGCACTCACTCTAATGCAGAGTAAAAATTTTCACATAAATTATTTTTCAAGGGAAAAGTGCAGATTCTCTCAAATTAATGCAGTCCAAGACTGCCTACTTAGAAAAAAAAAAAAAAAATTAAATATAAAAATTGCATCAACCACTTCAAACCAAAAATAATTCAAGTTTTCTACTATAATGGAATCCTTCAGTTGTTAAAGAAAATATTGTTTCTGACCTCAATCAGAAAGAAAAAAAAACATTTTAAGTCAGCCCAAATTTCTACTTCAGGTGGTTCACTAGTTATTTTCAGTATATTTCACTTCCCACCAATTCCCAAACTGAATGCAATGTTTCAATTCAATGTGAGCCATAAATAAAGCCCCACCCTGTGAGTCTGTGAGTCCAGAGAAGGGCCACAGAAATGATGAGAGGGCTGGAGCATTTCAGCCTATGAAGACAGGCTGAGGGAGATGGGACTGTTCAGCCTAGAGAACAGAAGGCTCTGGGAAGAGGGCACCTTATTGTGGCCTTCCAGTACCTAAAGGGGACTACAAGAAAGATGGGGACACCCTTTTTAGCAGGGCCTGTTGAACAGGACAAGGGATAAAGGTTAAAAACTACAACAGCATAGACTTAGACTAGATATAGGGAAGATATTTTTTACAGTGAGAGGTGTAAAATAATGGAATGGGTGGCCCAGAGAAGTGGCAGGTGCTCTGCCCCTAGAAACATTCAAGGTCAGATTGGATGGGGCTCTGAGCAACCTGATCTAGGTGAAAATGTCCTGCTCACTGCAGGGGCTTGGATTAGATGTCCTTTAAAGGTCTCTTCCAACCCAAAGTATCCTGTGACTCCATCTGCCTAGCTTTGTTCTCTTGCCCTGCTCTGGACACACTCCAGCACCTCAGTGTCCTCTTTGTCACGAGGGGCCCAAACCTGAACAAAAGATTTGAGGTGTGGCCTCACCAGTGGGACAGTCCTGCTGGCCACATCTTGCTGATCCAGGCCAGGTGCCACTGGCCTTCCTGGCCACCTGGGCACACCTGGCTCATGTTCAGCTCTCTGGTGACCAGCACCCCAACAGTCCTTCAAATCACTCCCAAGCTCACAGACTGTTAGTGCAGGGATCCTGAGTGTCATTATCCCCATTTACCAAAGCACCATGTAACATCACAGACCAGAAGATATCCCAGACTCTATCTCCTACTTTCCTTTTCCAGGCCAGTGACAGAGAACCTGCTGTCCACAGGAAGAACACCGGACATATTTACAAAGAGTAACTTTGTGTATTTACCAGTTTAGGAGGTGAACTGACCAGGAATGTAAAAAATCTTGCCCTAGAGAGATCATTCTTTTTGTAGGTGGAGAATCCACATGGGTTTGGGGATTTCAGAACAAACATGAGACTATATTTACTGATCAGAATTAGTACATCTCATGGTTTAGATGAGAGATAATCTATTGTAATGGAGGAAGCATGGAAAAATGCTGTGTTGGACATATGACAGCAATCCAGGGTGAAATAAGATTTTTTAAAAGTCAAAAAAGATGAAAAATAATTACTCTGAATTAACTCTAAATTGTAGCCATTCTAATAGCTAAAAATAATTTTTTAAAAATCATAATGTAAGACAGTTTGGCACCATCAAGTGCTCAGTAACAGTATAAAATGGTATAAAACCTTAGTAAATTACATGGTGTCAAAACCCTCACACCATGTACACATGGCTGGAGAATCAACAGGATTATCTTTACTGGTCTTTCAGTACTGCAGCTCACAGGCACTCATGCCATGTTCTGACATGGACAGTGGCTATTTTTGGTGCAAGAATATACAAGTTCCTGAAGGTGATCTTACAGCTCCTGCATAACAGCAGCACAGGAAGCTTCTAAACCTTTGGCACTGCATCTTCAACAGCTGCACCATTCAGGATAATCTTAGGAGCCTGCTTCTTGTCCCCAGGTTCTTCAGCCACACACTCCGGAGGCTCCAGGTCATGGTATTTTCTCCGATAGACCACCCTGGAGATTACAGTTATCAGAAACATTTCCATGATGAGCAGCTGCTGGGCTATGTCTGCCAAAAAAGAAAAAGGGAGACAAAGAAAAGCCCCCAAAGGGGAAATTACTATCAGACAAAAAAATGAATAATTGGCTTATTAATTTTCACCTGTGCAAAAGGAACAAACTCTATCATCCTGTCCCTATATCTCTCACACTCAGCAATGACATCAGTTACAGAATTCCAGTATTGCCTATCAATAAGAATGCAATAAATTTTGCATCCAAAATACAAGAGATTTAACAGTAATTATGCATGTTGATTTCTTTTCCTCTCATTTCTGATTCCAGCTCTTCTCATTATCAATTTGCTCTCCAAAATCATGAGAGCTATGAAACTTTTGTTATTGTTTTTTAAACTAAAAAATGAGATTCTCCAAAAGCTAGATGAAATTTGTATTTTGGGAAAATACCAGAGATTGCCATTACCAACAATGAACTGGTACTTTTATAAGTAAATTAAGAACATTCTTCCCTCAAAAAACTTACATGATCCTCTTGCTGTAGAGGAGAGTGGTGGAGCACAGGGAATGATTTTTTGTGTAGCGAATATGTTGATAATAGTGGTCTGCAGGTGGTTCAGAATGACAATAAACTGCACCAGAAAGGGAAAACAAATGCCTTAGCTACCAGAAAGGGGTTTACAGTTCACACAACAATTTATAGTTCACACAATTCTGCTTTGATAACAGAACCTCTTTTGCCTCATTCCTCCTTGCTTGCCCTCCCTTTCCCCCCCCCCACTACCAGCAGGGTGCCTGCCATTCTGCAGAATTCATCTTAAGGTCAGGATGATATTGCTCTGAATAGGAGTATTAAATTAATCCTGGACTTGAAAAGTATTTCTTCTCAGGCCTTCATTTGGGAGGTACATTATACACAGACCTCACAGCAGGGATGTCAAATAATACTGAGTTCTGGATAATAGGTAACAATGTTTAAAAAATGACTGTTAATTTGACCCGTGAGCTTATGAGCTTATGTTCTTCCTTGTTTATGGAAGAAAGACTCAAAGAACATTTTTCCTGTTGTCTCCTCTTTTTGCCAAAGCAGGGAGATATTGTGGTCCCCAATTATATGAGACTGGCTTCTTTGCCAGAAGGTATGAGGGACTCTTCACAGCTTGAGTTCAGCAACCACCACTTGCTCATCACATTAGATTGAGCCAGACCTTTGCTGCCATGGAGTTATCCAAGTGACTCTGTAGCTGCTGGTGGAACTGCCTGAGTCTAAACCCTCACATCAATAGAGTTTGCCATCCCAAACCTGAATTCACCCTAGCACAGCTTTGCAGGTGTGACCATCCTGTTTACTGCCTTTATTAGTGCTTAATAGTGTACCTAACCTCAGTGCACCAGCCTTGATGCATGTCCTGTTCAAGAAGGACATATCCAAGGATTCTGCTGGACTCTATTTAGAGTGATGTGGAGAGGGTAGCCTTGTCCCTGTGCTTTTTCAATCTAACCTATGTGGTTCTGTTCCTTACTGTTTAATGATTTGCAGCCAGTATTTTCACTATTATCTAATTCTGAAGTACAGAATGGCCAAAAAAAACCCTTTTAAAACAGCATATTGTGGAATGCTGAAGCAGTTCAAACAACAGCTGCCTGCACAATGCAACGTCTCCTCTCTGAGGTACACACCAGCATTTTAACATTGCATTTCAGGATACCACAGCTACAAAGCTTCCTTCAAGCCCCACAGAAAGTGCTGTTGTGATTTCAGTGGTCTAAAGATAGACAGATTTTACATGGCTTTCACCTCTCCAGCACTCCTGAGACTAGAGGTAAATTGGCTCCAAGTGAAACTGAACAGCAGCCAAGGAGAGTGCTTCAAAGGGATGCAGCTTTAATCAGGTAAAAATATGGCTTTGCACAGTGTATTTAATGGGAAAAAATACCATAAATTTTCAACAAAGGAGCAAGAACAAGAGAGGCAGAGCAGTGTCAGCAGATAAGAGAAATTCTTACCAGAAATATTGAAGTTCTCACCTGATAAAGAGCAAATTTTGGGATAATGTTCTTACACTTAAGGAGAATCCTAACTTTTCGAAACATGATTCCTACTGCCCACAGAGCAAAAAGGGTGAGGGCACCAATGAAGCAGCTGATCCACAGCGCAGGTCCTTTGGGAGACAACTGAGAAGCAAATCACACAGCCTTATACAACCTTACTTCAGTGTTTCCAGGAGGAAGTTATGAACTGGATGATGTTAAAATGCTTTTTTCTATCTGCATGAAAGCTGGTGGCAGCAGCAGTTGCTGGGTTTTGCATGGGGACACTGCCCAGCACCAACTGGAGTGCTGGCACAGGCTCTCCTCCTGCAGGCACCAACACAGAGATGTGCTCAGCCTGGGGAGGTGCCAAGTGGCACAACCCCTCCATGCTGCAATTGCCAGCCATGGAGTGTGTGCCTTTTCAGAGACCCCAGCAGCACCTGCAATGCTCAACAGCTCATGAGAGCATGTTCAGCCTGACTTCTCAGGCAGGTCATTAATTTTATACCATGAAACAACAACAAAAATGTTACTGTTAGTCTGAGTAATCCAGGAGGTGCCAAATCATTATCAGATACAGATTTCTCCATCATCTTGCAGGTTACATGGTACAAAGCAGAAGTACAGTACTATCTTTTCACTTTGCACAGCTATAAAAATCACCATGTCTCGCTGAAAAACATAGAATTAGGCTTCCTGTTAACATGCCAGTATGTACACTTATTTCTTAAGGCTGTACCTTACAAAACACAGGGCAGATAGATCCAACAGGGCAACTTGCAGTCCTGCTATTCCAACCATACCAGCTGGGAAATGTATAATCTGATGCCCAACCCCCCTGATGCCAAATTTCTTTCCAAGAGAGTTGAGGAAGGCAGAAATCATGGATGTCAGGAAATTATATGCTTCAGGTCTCAAAAGAATACAGCAAGGACTCACTTGGAAATGGTCCTAGATTTCACAGTTTAGTTGTAGGCCAGGATAGTTACATCAGCCCTGAAACCTATGGATTTTGAGGACCTTCTCTGATTAAAATAGTTACTTACATTGTAAAGAACGTAATTGCCATTAGTCCAAAGCACTATTGATAAAAATACGAGCACAGGCCGAAAGACAGCAAACTGAAAGGTGCCCAGCTTCAGCCAAAAGAGGGTTTGCCTGGATAAAAAAAAAAAAAAAAAAAAAAAAAAAAAAAGGCCAAGATTGTATTAGTAACCTTAATAACATTTTCTGGATACTGTCAACTGCAAAAACTTTTCCACTTTTGCAGCATGTGGCTAAAATCTGGGGAGGAACAGCTTCAAGATTAGAAAATATTTCCAAGAATTTCCCAATGTTTATTTAATAAAGTCTCTACAAAAATAGTACTTCTCCTGCTCTGCAGCAAGTACATACTAACCAAGGCTGGGCAAAACATGATGTCTTTCTCTGCCCTGAAGCCAGCCAGAGAGACAGTAGCTGCATAACCGGTTTCTGAACAATGATGCCATTTGCCTTTGCCTTGTTGTCTTATTATTTCAGTCCTCCCATGAAATTGGACAAATCAGCCTGTTCAGCCACTTCCTAGTCCTGTGGTAGATCAAGAAAGGGGATCACAGACACCCAGGTGAAAGGACTGGTGGTTTTTCAGTGCATCTTGAAGAGTACCATGTAAGACCTGGGCTTGCCCCTCTGCAGCCTAACAGAAGAAAGGAACAGTCTCCCCCTGGGCAAACTGCACAAGGCCGGCAGGAGAGCTCGGGATTCCTTCACTTCTGTCACTATAAAGTGTCACTACAAAGCACACCTGTAACCTGGCCAGCCAGCACTGCAGCCCACCAGGAGAGGGGCAGATGAACTTTCTAACAGAGGGCATGGAAGCTGACTGACCTGAGCTCTCACAGGGGAAGCTGCAGCAGCTACAGCTGCCTCATGTTTTAGTCTGTTACTGTGCATTATTTCCCATATTTTCAGTGTTGTTTTCACTGGAGTTCCTTGGGCCCTGCCATCAGAGATGTCTCACAGACAACAGGCTGCCATTTAGTGTGCTAAAGGATATAGCTATGAACCAGGAATTACAGGAATTGCTCAATGAATATAGCTGGTAACCACAGGATTATCAACAGGACAAACCCATGTGGAAAGACCTGCAATGGGCCACCCACTTAGTGTGTACCTTTCCAAAGATTTATTATTCCCAGAGAGCTTTAAAGAATAACACATCTGACAAAGAGTGCAGTCACTGCAATGCCATGAGTTGTTTCCCTTGTTAATACAGGCCCACCTTTACTGATCACCAGATCTCTTCTGCCCCATCTCTCCCTGTTGTGTGGATTGTTATATTGCCTCAGCTGTACCTTGTTGTTTTCCCCAGGACTGCAGATATATATTGTTGGGTTTTTTTTAAATAATTAATCCCTCCCTTGGGGTAGCTCCCTGTTTCCCCATAGGATACCTATGGAAGGAATGTGAGACTGACTTTTCTCTCATATAGCTTGCCAATGCCTTTTTTTTAAAAAGGTACCCTGCAGTGGGAAAAGGACAGAGGTTAGAAGCAGAGAGCAAATGGGTTTCCCAGAGGTACAGACACTGGAGAGGGAGGCCTAAGCCATTTAAAGCCTTTTTTTTTTTCAACAGACAGCTGTCCTTCCTGCCAGGAGCAGTAGGCACTGTCTAGCCCCTGAAATGAGTCCATATTAGTTGACATCATCCTGCATAAGCTGCTACTGGGCTGAACAACAGCAAGGGAGAGTAGGGGATCCTCTCCAAACTCCCAACCTATACTCTATTAAAAATACAACCTATACTCTATTAAAAATTATGGAAACTTAAGTTTAAATTCTAATACCAAATGAGGCAGTTTAAGGAAAAATTATTGTAATAAAAAATAGAATTTTTGAAAATGCATCAGAAACCACTATGCTGTGTTCTGTTTGCTGCTTTTCTCTAAACAGATTGTACAGTCCCCTAGGACCCTCTGACACTAAAGTCCATACCCTCATAGAAAAGTCTCTTTTCAGTCCCTCAGGTTTTGCTTATAATGAGAGAAACAGTCCCATGCTCTATGCCAGTAGAAAAGTCAGGGAAATACACAAGGCTCCCAGGCTGTGGAGTGCTCTGTAGTGAGGGGTGACACCAACCAGAGGAGGAGCTCCACCAGGTTGTGCTCAGAGGAGGACAGGTTTGTGTTACAGTACATTGGCTCCTGTAGCTCTCCATCCTTACCTCCCTTCTCAAAGATGCTTTAATACTAAGTTTAGAAGAAGAAAACATCTGCTTTTGCCTCACCAGATAATGCCATTTCATTGAGAACAAAGCTTTACAAGAATTACATCTACTTTTTGTTCTAAAAAGTATTTTAATCTAAAGTAGTTTTAAAGTCAAAATCAGAATGAAACATTTCCATTTTATCAAAGTGAGAGAAATTTTCTATCAAGAGAGCCTCCATTTGACAATTCTGCTCGTGAAAAAATACATGATCTCAAGACACTTGTTCCCTTCTGGAATGAAAAGAAACTGAAATGTCAATTATTAGGTTTTCTAGAGTAGAAATTTCTCCTCCCACACACCTCTGCATTGTAGACACAAAATAAATTAGTGGTGGTGTACAGCCCCAGAGTGAGGATGCTGTTTAAAAGAAACAGTTTGAGATGTCTTGAGACTGACTTTGGGGAAACTTTGCTGTAAGCCTGGCCCTGCCAAGCTGGCTGAACTCCAGCAGCCGTTTTCAAGCTCCTTAAAGGGAAATCCTAAAGGGGTGACTCACCTGGTGATGGGCACACGAGGGAGGCAGAGGCAGCAGCAGCAGCAGGGGCCGGTGGTGATGGTGAAGTGACCATTTTCAAACCGTCTGAGGAGCACCTTCTGCCCTCCACACTCTTTAATCATCATCATCAGGAACTTGTGGATAACTATGGAAAAAAATCTAGGAGAGGGAGAGAATTCCAGCTTAAACTTGCCTGTGTGTCTCGTATGCCTGTGCAGGCCAGTGCCACCTCCTGTACAGGGTTTTCACAGCTTGTGCTTCGCAATCAACAAACATTCTAGCTCTGTCTTTGAGACACCTTCTGCTTTCTATCACCTTGGAGGAGCAGAACTGCCCTACCCTCACTGAAAGAGGAATAAACTGAGGCACAGAGCAGGCGTGGAATTTCCAAAGCCACTCTGGTGGCTGGTGGCAGAGTTGGTGTTAAAGCACAGGCTTTCCTGGCCCCAGTCATTCTGGCTGTGTTTTTCCATAAGTTATCTAGTTCTCACTAGTCCCAACTTTTTAGAAGAAGTCCTCTTGCTCCTCAAACATGGCTTTCAACAAACAAACACGGCTAGGTTCACATACATAGCTATCATTGAATGTGCTGGCCCAGGCAGGGTGTGGTTCCTCTGCAGACAAAGCACCTACTGCTGCAACCCCACCTCTCCCTCCCTCCCCAGCTGCACATTCTCAACCCTACCCAGGAACTACAGATTATGCCACCAAACATGGAAATCCAATCAATAAAAGAGGTCCTCTGCTGCACTGCCTGCAGCTTAGGCAAGGGAGAAGAGGGAATTTAAACATGCTTGAAGTGCCACAGGACTGGATTGTTGGAAGTTCCTGGCAATCTGCACTACCTGCACACACTGGCACATGCCAGCAGTATTCCCTACTACTGTTTTGTCCCTCCTCTTTTAATCTTTTACTCATCTCCAGATGTGGAGTGCTCAGGGCCATGGCATACCCCTACTTGGTCCTGCCCACCAGGGCTGTGCCATCACCTGCACAAAGCAGGGACCACATTTCTCCCTTCTCCTCTGTGAATGCCAGAGCTGTCATGCTCACACATAAAGTGCTTTTATCAGGACAACTGTGGAACATTTTTACATTGATGTGCTCATTGGGGGCTCACTTGGCACCATTAATAATAGACCTCCAGGGCTCATCATTAGTAAAAGTGCAGGGAAGAAGTCACAGGCCAGACTCTCATTCCACATGACATGCAGAGAGAGGAGAGACAGACTACTGCTCCAAAGAGACTCAGTCCTAGGAATCAATTACATGTGAGCCACAGATCCTTCATACTGACATTCCCACACTAGGGGACTGTAGCACTGGGAACTGCTTCAGCATTTTTCACCTCCCAGGAAAGAGCTGCCAAGAGATTTCAACTCAAACAAAGAAATTACTGAATTGTTAAATTTACAGAATGACTGTGTTACCAAGAGCAGCAGATGCTTAAAGGGAAGAAATTTGGGGTTTGGAGCAACACCTAGAAACAAGCAGAATACTCACATTCCTGCTGTGAAATCTGTAAACATTGTTGAGCGAGGAACCCACATGCCAATGCAAGAAGTAGTAGAGATCACCTACAGAGAAAAGGGAGGAAGGTTGTATGAAGGGCAGAGAGCTCACATGGCTCCTGTGGATTTTCAGGGAAGCCTTATTTTCAGCACTGAATTTTATCTTGTTTCCATGTTAACTTACTGGAGCTGCAGCATTAATCCAAATTATGATTGATCTTTTGGAGGAGGGGATTTTCCTGTAGATGTAGACTGCTTCCTCTATAAACACCAGAATGGCAATGAGCGTCATCAGAGTCAAGGTTGCAAAGAGAAATCTCCCTGGTAGGTCAAGGCCTGCAGAGAGAGAAAAGAAAACAGACAGTTCTGATTTATTTCATAAGCTTTTCAAACATTAATGTAACAACACCATCTCTGAGGGGCTTCTTTGCCTTATTCCTACAAATACTTGCACTCATCCCTAGTTACACAGGCAGACCACTGACTCCACAGAATCATTCAAGTACTGAAGTTCATGACTAAATCTTTCCAGGATCCACAGACAGCAGGCAGGAAGAATACGCCTTCACCTTCTGAAAGCATTATGCAATAGTCCATTTCAGAAAAGGGGAGTTCCAGGACAAATATCCTTCGATAAATACAAATATGTAGCAGAAATAAATACATAATCTGGGAACTTTTCCAGGCAGGCTACAAGCAAACATGTATTCACTCAGTATTAGTTCTCTGCTTCCATCATATGCTCACAGGTATGTTACATGTAACTTCCTTAGGCAGGCAAACTTACTAGAAGCTCGGGGGAATTTTGTATGGCACACTAGCAATGTAAGGAAAAACCTCTGATATACCAAGCCTGAGATAAAACTTTGTGTCTTCACCAAAATCTTTTTTGCTTCTCCCTTAAACATTTCAACATTTACCCATAGGTGATAGGTTTTATGTCTCCATTGACACTGGGTATGGGTATCAACTTTAACCCACAACTGACAGCTGAAGTGCATTTGCTTCCAAGGCATGTGTTTCCAGATACAGAAAAAGTGGAGTCATGCTTAATTTAGGAGAAGTTCATGCTCATCATCAGTACGAACTGCTGTGAGACCCGCAGCCTATGGGAAGGCAAAGCAGAGCCTCCGCTCCAGCCTCTTTAACCTAACCTCGTTCAAAAAGCCCCGACACTTCCAGACTTGGCTGCAGGCGGGGCAGTGCCGGTCTCAGTGCACATTTCCACTCCTTAAATCTCACCGGAGGGAGCCTGAGACCCGGCGCAGCCCCAGGGGCCGGTTCCGCTGTGCCATCCCCAGCCGGGCCTGGGCCGGGCCGTGCTGCGCTCTCGCCCTGCCCCGGAGCCAGCGCGGCCCGCAGACAGGCGGAGGACCGGCCGGGACGGGCGGGTGCCGGCCTCCGCTCGGGGATTTCCTCGCCGGGGAAGAACGGCGAAGGAACACGCAGGGACAGGGACAGGGGATGGGCAGGGATGGGGCACAGGCAGGGACAGGGGATGGGCAGGGACAGGGGGACGGACAGGGACAGAGGCACAGTCAGAGGCAGAAGCACGGACAGGGGCAGGGGCAGCAGCGAGGACGAGGACAGGGACAGATGACGAGGACAGGGACAGATGACGAGGACAGGGACAGATGACGAGGACAGGGACAGATGCCGCCGCGGCTGGGTGCCGAGGGCGCTGCCGGGCAGGGCCGCCGCGGGTGTCCGGCGGGCAGCCTCCTCTCCTCCCGCCCCGCACTTACTCCGGAGAAGCTCCTCCGAGTAGGGCGGCTCGCTGGAGCCGCAGGACGGGTGCAGGGTCCCGTTCGCCTCGCCCTCCATGGCTGCGCGGCCGGCGGCCCCGGCGCGGAGCCCGGGCGGTGCCGGGGCTGGGCACGGGCGGCGGGGTCGGTGCGTGCCCGGCCGCCGGTCCCGGGCGAGTGCGGGCGGCGATGAGCGGCGCGGAGCCGGCGGCCGGGCCCTGTTAATGATTACCCCGGAGCCGGGCGGGCGGGCGGTGCAGGGACCGAGCCCGCGCTGCCTCCTGGCGCCCGGCACGGCCGCACGGGCAGCGCCGAGCAGGGGCAGCGCCAGCTGGGGCAGCGCGCCCACCCCAAGCCCACCCCGCCTGCCGCGGGCTGCGGCTGCTCCCGGCCTCGGTGGAGCTGCTTGCGGCATCCAGCCGGGTCCATAGTCACAGCCCCAGCGTGTCGGGGCACCTGCAATCGGGTCTCGGCAGCCGAGGGGGCGCTGGAGCCGGCCGGGGGCGGGCGGGATCCCCGGGGCCGTGTCCGCCTTCGCTGCAGCCCCGGGACACGGACGGAAGCTGCTCCGTCAGGGGAGCAGGTGTTTGAGGGAGTTTTCATGGAGCCCTTCACCAAAGGTTTCCCGATCGACTTGGCTGCAACGAGGTGAGACGCTGAAGGGGAGCGCAGTGAGGGTAGGAATATACCGAGAGATTCTCCACTTTCCCACACGTTTCCTCTGCTGGAAGGATTCTTTCTGCAGCCTCAGCACTTTCGGGCTGTTTCCAGGAAAAGGGAATGAGTACTGAAATGATGGAATTTGGTGACCCACCAGGTTGTTCAGGACACTCGCGCTGAAAGCTGGCCAACCCTAATGGTTACTGCGCTGAGTGACAAAATGACAGGGACACGCTGTAACAATGAGCACAGAGGGTGTCCGGGGGGAAGGAGGACAGTCCTAATTACCAATGCAGTGATAAGCGATTGCCGCTCATGAAAATGATCCTGGGAACACAGTGGACAGTCTTCAAAAATGACAGCAAGAATCAGCATGGGACAAAATGCAAAGGACTGCGAGAAATTTGTGGATAAATAAAGGAAGACACAAACCAGCTAAAATACATATGGAGGCCTCCCTTCACCATGCTGGTGTTCTAGAAAGTTGAACAAATTGAAGTGGGGAGGTGAGGAATTTAGGGACATTTTTAAGCACCAAGGGCCCTTGTGGTAAAGGCTTGTAGTCATCTTGCAGTTTTCACAGGATTTCCAAAGGTTTTACAGGAAGGACAGGCCGGACACTGAAACACTGCCAGCAGGAGCACAAGGATGCAGGGGAGAATAGGACTGCTCACTGTCTCACACCAGCAGGTACTGAGAGAAGGCAGGCTCCTTCCAGAGTGGCAGGATTCGGGAGCAAGACAGATGAGGCTACTGACAGCCTGTTCTGTTACTGTCAGGACAGCTTGGTTACAGATCAAAGTAATTTATTTCAAGTCCTCCTTGGCATTGCTGGCATTGTTTTCACTGCATTGAGAGGTGAGGATGAAAGCCTACCAGTTTCACCAGTGAGTGGCTGTTGGAATGTGGTATCTGCCCAGTTCTGCCCAGAGCATTCTCCACCCAGCACATCTGCTGCTGCCCAGCTGCAGAAACATACAGGCAAAATCCATGAAACACTGTTCCAGCTTATTTTCTATTTGAAAGACTGTTTTCTCATCCTGAAGAAACAGTTGCTGGAAGAAAGGGAAATGACCTCAGAAGAGCATTCATTTTCTACACAGTTTGCTTAATTTTTTTAACCAATTATTTTGAGGAGGTCATATTCCAAAATGTGACCAAAATCTCATTAGGATTGCTGAGATTTAAACATGGCCTAAGGTCTTTGAATGTTCTTCCTGAGCAGACACAAGAGGATTTCCATCTGTTGCTGTTTTGGTTGCCAGCTCCTTGTATTCCCTAAAAGCTAAAAATAGAACCCCCTTACCTGTGAATTCCTTTTTCTGAATGAGACAGGTTTGGCAATGCTTGTGTTAAAGACATGCATACACGAAGTGTAAGAGACTCAAGAATTCCCTGAACTCAGTAACAGCTTTGGATTTGACAGTCATATTTAAGCCTTTCAGAAATACCAGTTTGGAACAAATACTGGATGTATTGTTCCGCATATATGAACATGGCATAGAGAGTTTCCTGTCTCAAACCTATAGAAAATTAACAGGTTGAAATTTAGAGGTTAAGGATTAATTCCCACCTGGTGCTGTAGGGGTCCAACTCTCCAGCTCTCTTGTAGCTATGATATTTTATTAAAAATCCTTTGCTAGGATTTTTCCCCTCCTGAGGAGCTGAGGGCCCCAGGAAAGAAGTGTAAACAATAACTATCTGCTGCTGTGGAATGCAACAGGTGCATCTTCCATTGGTCCATGTGGATTGTTTTCACTTGATGACCAATCACAGCCACCTGTGTTGAGGCTGTGAGCAGTCCCAGGATTCTTGTTATGCATTGTATTCTATTCTTGTTCTTTGTAGCCTTCTGATCCTTCTTTTCTCTCTGTTCTTTTAGTATAGTTTTTGTGTAGTGTTTTAGTATAATATATAACATAATAAATCAGCCTTCTGAGAAAATGGAGTCAAGCCTTGTGTCTCCGCACATGGGGTGTTCACCTCAACACTCTCTTCTTCTACTGGAGCATCTCATGCGAAATAGAGTCTAAAAAGAGAAGCACAGACCTACTGTGAGTCCTTTTTGTTGGAAACACCATTTGCCATTTTTGGCTCAAACATTGGACCCACTTCCTTAAAAGCTGCCATATGTCCTGGAGGGAGTGTGCATCACCTCTTCCTCACATTCTGGACTGTGTCTTGGCAACAATATTTGCCTGACAGTGTTTAAATGTAATAAAGCAAACTGAAGAATGTGCCATGATCCCTCAGTTACCACAGCTGGAGGTCTGCTGCTCTGTGCTCACTTTCTTAGACCAGGCTCTTCAGCAGTGCCCTCTCTGCTCTGCCCTCTAAGACAAATGCTGTGTCTCTACATCAACAATGAATCCTTTAAATTCCCATAAGCCTGAGTATGTTTTCCTCCCAGCTTCACTATTCCAGTTTTTGGTTTAACCTTTTAGTTCAATATATTGTATTTTCCATGAAAAACCAACCAACCAACCCCCAAAGCCACCTTCAGCACTGGATGAGTATTTATAAATGGATCACCTATCCATTTAGATGCATCAAGAGATTGACACAGGTCCTCAGACTAAAAACCACCTCTGAACACAGTTCCCTTCATCTGCTGACTGGGGACTGTCGAGTTCTTTGTGGTTCAGCCCCCTTCCAGACAATGCACAGCTCAGACTTGTTTCTTCTCAAGAAACCTTTGCTTCTACTTTGCCCCTTTGCTTCTACTTGTGTTCATCTTTTAAAGAGCACTGCAGATGCTTATCTTTCTTCCATTTGTGTGATGACTTTCATTTTACATCAGCATCATCAATGCAGATGGGAAAGATGGGAAATGCAGCCCCTTTCACAGAATCATTTGTTCTGGGAAAGGCCTTTTATATGATTAAGTCCAACCACAAACCTAACACTGCAAACAGTTCTGAGGCAAGGTTAACTCGCCTCCTGAGAGGTACACAAACTTCAAAACCCTTACATTCCTTTAGTCAGTGAAAATGTACATCACCTGGAGAATGTTCAGCTGATTCTGAAAGGGACTCAACAACTCTGAACTCCAGGGACAGATACCCCCATATGTGGAGCAGCTGCATTTGCTAAGGTTAAAAAACAAGGTAGGCATTTCAGGTTCAGTTGTACATAGTAAAGGATTTGAGTTGTAGATGAACAAAGTCCAGAGGTGCCAGAAGGAAAGGTTACTATGCCTACCTGATTCTCCTCTGCTGACAGTTCTGGTCATGGACCTCCAATCACACAGATAAACCAGCCAGTTTGGCAGAGACAAATTATTTGAACTGTTTTACCTCCTCCCACTGCATTTGCTTAAGACAATTTGGAGGCTAACTGATGCAGGATGGTAAAATGAATCATCCCAGAAAGAGACTAACACTCATTAATGGGAGAGGTAATTATCCTTCTAAGTGCTGTTGCAGGATTTGAAATGCTGCATTTGTACAGTAATTTCATGGAAAAGGAGATAGAGCTTCAACAGTACCTCTGCTGGAGTGTGGACCCAGGGAGCACCATGGAAGTACTTGCAACTATGCTTATATGAAAGGATGTGATCTATACTGATGCAAGAAACTTGTAATGTCAGTAAAAACTTGTGTAAAGGAGTCTTAAACTTGGGTTAATGTTTCAATACAATGAAAGCAACTGGTTCTTCATTCATTTTTCACTGTGATGGACAGAAAGCAAAAAGAAATAAAGAAAAGGAACATACACAGAAAGGGAAGAAAAAATGAAATGTGAGAGGAAAAATAATACTAACTGATAATTTAAAATAATGCCAAAACCTAGACTTAATTCATTCACTCTCAGTAAAAGAGGTATCTCCAACTCTCTTTAGAAGAAATGTAGATTTCCTCTGTGTGCTCTGCCTGAACAAAGCTATGCTCTAGTCAAACATGAAGCACTAGGTGAAAATTCAGAGGAACTAGGTGAAATTACAGGGAAGGAAAACCAACTTTTTGAGTTTTTAACTGTTCAGCAGAGTTCAAGCTAACAGGAGAAATCTGTGTTAGAAAAAGAAGTCTTTGATTTTCAGTGCTATAGGGGACTGTACATCACATTTCTCACAAGTTTGGATACCCAGATAAGAGCCAGAAGAGTCAGCTAAAATTGTTCAGATTTCAAAGGAATGTACATATTTAATAATTAAATTAAATCCTGTTTTCAGCTATAGCATAATATACATTTGGACTTGCATGCAAGTCAGCCTTTTCCACTATAAATCTGTGGATTTTTCACCAACCATCAGTAATAAACTACCCATTTCAGGAAAGGTGAGTCATTAATGTAAGAAAAGGAACATCTATATCACTGTAAAAGAAATTAATAAGGGGATTTGCTTGTTATCTGGATTATGACAGCAACTATAAAAAGAAATAAATACAGTAATGACAATTAAATGAAGATAACAAAACT